CCAGCAGCCCAGTTTGCCCCAAGCCCCATCCAACCTGCCCTTCAACACCCCCAGGGATGGGGCAGCCACAGCTTCCCTGGGCAAGCTAGACCAGGGTCTCCCCACCCTCACACTACAGAATTCCCTCCTCATGTCTGACCTTTATCTCCCCAGTTCCAGTTTGAAGCCACTACTCCTTGTCCTCTCACTCCCTGCCCTTGTCAAAAGTCCCTCCCCAGCTTTCCTGGAGCTTCTTCAGGCATTGGAGAAATACAGAACTTAAAGACATCATCATAGCATTATTATTAATAATTTAAATATATAATAATAACTTACATGCGTAATAATAGAATAATTAATAATAAATACAGAATTTAGAGTCAATTTGCCAGCCTGTCTTGGGACAGGCTGGGGGTCTTGGGGTTTTTTAAGACAAAGGTGGGATCTGTGCAGCCACAGATACTGTCCCAGCCAGATCACCTGGCCAGGTCAACCCTACCAAGGCCCTTTAGTTTCAAACAATAACAGGTTGATCTCCAGGATAGAAACAAAATGTTTTCCATTGTCCCATGAGCTGGCTCCATCTCCCAGGACAGCACGGCAGGGCAAGCTCAAACAAAGGCCCCAAACTGGCATTCCCAGCCCCCAGGAGGGGGGTGAGCAGCCACCAGGTTATATATTTAATCTCACAATGGCACCCAGGAAATGAATGGTGTCTCCAGGAGATGAATACAGCCCAGCCCATAGCAACAGGCAAACCACAAGAAAAGACCTTAGAGATCCTGCACTTCTCAGCCCAGCTGCCATCAGGGAGGAATGGAGAGCAGGGTAATTAACCCTTGGGGCCATGGAGCCCCATGGTGCTGGGCTGTGCTGCTGCAGCTCCTGCTCTGTGCTCAGCTGAGCTGGGGCCTGAAAACAAACACAAGGCTTCGAAGGCTGGGGCAGACACCCTGCAAATGGCTCTGGTTTGGGTTCCTTTCTTTTTACCCACTACACAACATCACCAGTTTCCTTGACTTGCTCAGGTCACCTCCTTCGCTTCCCTGCCCCTCCCTCTTACAGCAAGGAAAGTGGAAGGAGGCAAAACCACTTGGACTTCCAGCCCGATTACTGGGAAAGCTGGAAAATTGACTGTATTGGGGTTCAAAAACTGCCCAAGTTCGCCTGGATACATCTTCATGTTGTGACTTGTAGGGACAGTGCCTGTCTCAGATGGGCTGTGTCTCTGGGCACAGAGACCTGTGCTCTGAGCAGAAGGGGAAAAGAGAAGTTTTATTTTCAAGCCAGAGCCCTGAATGCAGGTGGCTGTAGTGACCAAGACTTATCACCACCCAGCTCTCAAAGCCAGGACCAGGTCCTTCCTGTTCCTTTCTTCCACCCCTTCCGTGTTGTTCTCCAGCCCCCTCCTAGCCAGGCCCTGCCAAAAAAATATTGTACCTCACACACAAAGGAAAATTCTTTGCTGGCTCGTTGGAAGGGCTGATAAGATGAGAACGGAACAGAGCCAAGTGTAGGAACTGATTCCCAACCTCGGGATGGGTTTTGTTCGTTGTTAATAAAAAAGAAAAGTGAACTCTGGGCCAGCTTAATTGCTTTCAGTAAAGATCAGCCCTTCTATAAAAGAGATTTATGAGGGCACTGATGGTTCCTGGACTACCTGGATCTGATAAAGTTTCAGGTATAATAAATGCCTTAATGAGAAGACCTGTGCTTGAATGCACAAGTGCCACTGAGCTAGGCTGTCCCAGGAAGCTGGTTGTGGTGGGAGTGCTGGGAACTCCTGGGTGCTAGTGACTCCTTTCACACCAGCAAGGGCAGCCCGTGGCACCTTTCCCCTGGGGAATGAGGGCACAGCCCTCCTGCTGCTGTCTGGAGCTCTTCTGCTCATTCAGTGATGCACCAGCAGCTGCTGAGGGGACCAGCCTTGGGTGTGAGCAGCCTGTGTGGCTGGTACACAAGGTACGAGGGGTCCCTCCTGCCCCTTGGGAGCCACAGAGGTGTGTGACACTGAACAGGGAGCCCTTGTCCCCTCAGAGGTCACATACAAGCACCACATGCCTTTACACAGTCTTTCTGAGGGATAAGCAGGGTCAGACCTGGCTAAGATTTGGGAAGAGCTCAGAGTGGAAGAACCTCCAGAGTGATGGAGGTTTTGGGGGCAGCTCCTCTTCCCAGTCCATCAACAAAAAGTCTCCAAGAGTTCCCCTCAACTCTAAACTCCAGAAGGCAAGTGCACTCAGCCCTGTACAGTCACTATAAACCAGTGCAACCATTGGACTTTTTTTTATGTCGATAGACTTAACTGTGCTCCTTACCCCAATAACCACCCTAGATTAAGGTAATCAACTCAGCTATGTTATCACCACGATTACAGGCACAGTGTGGGCTGACAGAGTTTCCTCGTGACCCCAGAGCCACAGAATCCCAGACTGGTTTGGGTTGGGAGGGACCTCAAAGACCATCCAGTGCCACATCCTGCATGGGCAGGGACACCTCCCACCAGCCCAGGCTGTTCCAAGCCCCATCCAACCTGCCCTTCAACACTGCCAGGGATGGGGCAGCCACAGCTTCCCTGGGCACCCTGGACCAGGCTCTCACCACCCTCACAGCAAAGAATTTCCTCCTCATGTCCAACCTAAATCTCCCCTCTCCCAGTTTAAAGCCATTCCCCTTTGTCCTGACTCTACATGTGTCAAAAGTCCTTCTCCAGCTTTGTGGTTCTCCTACCTGTGTGAGTCCTCTGATGTGCCTTCAGGTGGGAGCTCTTGGTATAAACTTTTGAGCAACCTGCAAAAAACAGGAAAGACACAATTTCCCTGTGAGAAGAGGCCCTGACTCCAACCAACCCAGAACATTTACATCTGAGGGCAGGGAGAGAGCAGGCCTGAAAAGCCCTGGGTAACAGCATGCAGAAAAGCCTGGCTGCACCCCTTGTGTTTCAGCAGGAAAAAAAAACAGCAGGAACTAAGGAGCATTTGTTCTCCAGGACAGACTGTTACAACACTCCATCTTTTGCCCCACAATCCTGACCCCTGTGGGCTTTGTGCTGGGAACTGGCAGGGGGGAAGGGTCAGGCACAGACTTTCAAATCCCCCCCCATCCTCAACCAGGTCCTGCAGGCAGGATGAAAACATCACATCCAGCCAGTGAGCTGCTGGTTTTGTGCTGCTGTTTGTCCTCAGGATTCCAGGATGTCACTGGTATCACTGGGCAAGGCTGGAAGGAGGATGTATTTTGCAATAGCCCCAGACCCAGCAGACGTGGTGAAAATGTTCCAGGAAGCAGGAAAGGCCAGGTACACTGTGGAGCCACAGCTTTGCTTTCAGGATCCAGAATAGAGCCGTTGGGAATGTTTTTTCAGAAGAAAGAGGTTGAATTAAAGAAAGGCTCTTCACAGAAGCACCAGGAGTTGGGCAGAAGTTTCAACACCAGGTGCCTCCACGTGAGCCATGGCTGGTTCCTCAGTGCAGTTAGATAAAGCTCAGAAAAGCCTCTCATGCTGCCCTTGTGGCCCTGCTTCTTTGTGTTTCGACAAGCATATTAAAATATGAATTTGAATTTTTATGACCTGCCCAAGCAACATGGTCATATATTTTTTCGTTCCAAACAGCCTGAAGGCACAAGATCAGCTCTGTGTCCTCTCCTGCCTGGGAGCTGCAGGAGCATCCAGCTGCCTTTCCTCTCCCCAGGGTAAGAGGGATAAGGGTTGGTGACCCCATTCAATGTGGTTTCTGATGCTCTGAAGCCTTGGAGGTTCTTTACACTGAGGAGAGAGATGAGTATGGATGAGACCAAGGACTGCCTCACTGCTGGGCATGGACATGAAGCCAGCCAAGCACTCTGAGCAGCTTCCAAACACAGAGCCCAAGAGAAGCCAGAGCAGAGAATGGCTGAGCTTCCTTTTCCCATCAACACGCTGAGGAAAAAGTGCTGGGGCCACCACCTGGAAACGTGGATTGGGGCTTTGCAAACAGGTCTCCCCAGTTCATCCAGTTTCCGGGGTGAACTGGGCACGTCTCCCACTGCTTCCTTGTGCAGATCTGCTTGCCCCTGCCAGCAGCCCTGACAGGTTTCACCTCCAGCTGAACCTCAGCCTGGAGGATTAGAAGCAGCCCTCCTCTGTCTCTGCACGTACACACCAACCAGCCACCCCCTGTTTATTCAGCACAGGTTGGGGTTTGGTTTTCTTTGCACCACAGATGTGCTCCTGCCTTCCTGTGCAGGACAAAACCCTGCTGAAAACAGGTGAGCTTCGCCCTGGTAGCAAATCCTGCAGGGTGAAGCTCTTGCTCTGACAAGAGCAGAGGGGTCTGCCACTTACACCCTTCATCTGTCTCCCACCGTGACCAGCAGAAGGCACAGAATTCAGCAGAGACTGTTAACCACAAGAACATGGGTGCAGCTTCTGGCTCAGAAAGTCCCCAACCTGCAGGTTGCCAGAGGGTGGGAAGGTGTGAGCACAGAAAGATCTTCCTCAACATGTCCTCCTATTCTTACACACTTCCTCTGGTCACTTGCTGGAGACAGGATCTGGGCTAGACAGGCCTCTGGGTTGACCTACCACAGCCACCCTTGTGCCATGGGAAGAGGACATAAATCTTGCTGGAGGCATTTGGGAAATGCCTTCCAGTTCCCACACCCACACAGGAAAAGTGTTTGCTGAGCCCAAGCAGCTCGATGACTGGGGGGGAGTGAGTGGTGGGTGGTAGGGAGGAAGTGAGACAGAGAGTTGGGAGAAGGCTCCTGGGAGACCCTAGAGCACCTTCCAGTCATATCATCATCATGCAGACAAAGGGGTTTCAGATTAAACCCTGTGGAGGCCCCAGGCAGCCTGAAGTGTGTCAAGTAGAGACACACACACCCCCACACACCCCACCCAAAGCCAAGCCAGCACCTCAACCACGAGCATACCTGGGTAATCACAGTGATGGATCCTCCTTTTCTCCAGCTCAGGGTTGTTGCGTCTGTTGTATTTGGGGGGCTGCATGACAATGTGCCCTTGGGAGAGGGTCCCGAGGCCATTGGGGACTGGGGGGGCCTGGGATGACTGGACCAACTTCAGTCCAAAAGTGGCTTCGTAGGATGGCGGGGGAGAGATGGTGTTGATGAGCTCAGGTTGATTTTCTGGGCTGCCAGGCTGCGAGTTTGGGGGCGAAGGGGGCAGGTTCACCCCTGGAGCGGCATAGAACTGCCCGGAGATGCTGAAGTTCCCCTGTCCCTGGGAGACGTGTGGGTACTGCTTCACTGGCCCCCCTGGATGGATGGGTCTGTGGACCACGCTGGACACGGCGCTGCCTGTGGACATGGTGACACCAGTGAGGCTGTTGATGGCCGTGGTGCTGCCGGAGGAGGAGGTCAGCGTGGCCATGTCAGCGCTCCCGCCGCCCAGGGGCAGCTGGTACAGCTGGGACTGCTGGGCGTGGGTGGACAAGGGGATCTCGGAAGGCATCTCCTGCTTGATGAAGATGTTGTTCACTGCCACCGACTGGGGCATGCTGAAGACGCTGGTGAAGTCGGGCAGGGTCTGCGTGGAGGAGGAGGAGCAGGGCTGGGCGAAGCCGGTGCCGGGCTCGGCTTTGACGGGCGGGAAGGGCGGCAGGGCCCGGGGGGGCCGGTACAGCCCCGTGCGCAGGTGTGTGGTGTCCGGCAGGATCACGTTGATGTTGACGCTGTAGGGCGTGGAAGGGGGTTTCTCTGTGGAGAAGAACTCGTCCACCACCGAGGCGCTGTCCCGGCGGTACTTCTTGTCGGGCAGCGCGGGGGGCACCTCGCTGGACAGGTACTTATCCAGCTCCGAGCGCGCCTGCGGGAAGGGAACGGGCAGAGAACTCCTGAAGAGAGACCTTGGCAGGAGGGTGGTGGGAGCACCCCAGGGGCCACAGGCAGCAGCCATGAAGCTTCAGTCTCTGACTCAGCCACAGACTCCCCTGGAGCGAATCAGGGTCATAGAATCCCAGACTGGTTTGTGGGATGGAAGGGACCTGAAAGATCATCTCATTCCCAACCCCCCTGCATGGGCAGGGACACCTCCCAGCAGCCCAGGTTGCTCCAAGCCCCATCCAACCTGCCCTTCAACACCCCCAGGGATGGGGCAGCCACAGCTTCCCTGGGCAACCTGGGCCAGGCTCTCACCACCCTCACAGGGAAGAATTTCTTCCTAATACCTCAATCTCCCCTCTTCCAGCTGGAAACCCTTCCCCCTCAACCCATCCCTCCCTGCCCTTGTCCCAAGCCCCTCCCCAGCTTTCCTGGAGCCCCTTCAGGCACTGGAAGGTGCTCTAAGGTCCCCCTGGAGCCTTCTCTTCTCCAGGCTGAACACCCCATCTTTCTGTCCCACTTCCCCCCTACCTGCCAGCACTGGTAAGGAAGGGTAAGGTAGGCAGAGGATGCAGTTCTGGGAAAATCAGCTTGATAAAGAGCAGCCAAGCTTTGGGTACAAAGCTTTGGTCACACAAAGAGAAATTAACACTAGCAATGAGATGAAATCAGAAACTCTGCTGCCTCAAGCTTTGGGCAGGTTGGCCCTGCAGCCCACCCTAGACATGCTGACTCTGGTCTCTTTCCCATTTAGCAGCCTGAGAGGTACTGCATTTTATTCTAGGATCTTCAGTTAAGTGGGAATATTCTAGGAGAACATCTGTAATTAATTGAGAATAATTTGGGCTGTAGCCCTAGAAATCTAATGTTAGTTCTAGTTTAGTTCAGCTGTTTTCACCACGGAGCAGGAGCTCTGGCTCAGTCTCCAGGTTTCTTCCCCTCCTGGTTCATGCCTGGTGCTGCATCCCTCTGGCTCCAGGCATGATACCTCAGCAACCCAATGGAGCAACCCCGCTAGGAAATTCATCCCCTGGCATTTGATGACTCAAGTTCTGCTCCTTGTGGTTGAAGATACCAGCGGTGAACGCTCTTCTCTAGAGCTGCAGCCTTTAATGATGTGGTTATCCATGTGTCAAGCTCATTGCGAAGCCCTTGCAGACTCATTCATATGTAGAGGAGCTGGCAGAACCACCAGGTTTCCCTGGCAGAGCCTACAGGGCACTTCAGGAGAGCACGCTGGGCTGGCCCCACACCCTGCACGCTTGAGCCCAGGGCTTTCCAGCTCTGAGCTGTGTCACTGCAGTGCCATGGGCCAAAGCCATCCCTGCCACAGCTTCATGGCTCTTGACAAAGCTGGACGGCACCCAAGAGATTTCCTCGCCCTTTCCAGGGAAACATTTCACCTGTGCTTCCAGCTCATTCAGAGAGCTCCTGCAGCTCTGCAGGCCGGGAAGCTGGCATGTCCCCAGGCACAGCTCCTGCCACAAACACACCCTCTTCCTCACGGCAGGAGCAGCTGGAAGGGCCATAAGGAACCTTCTGCCTCAGCAAACCCTGAAGCTCAGGAACCAGGTCTCTGACCCCCTGCTCAGTCCTGGCAGGCTGGTCCCAACCCTTGGTTTCCTCCTCTGCTCCCCCTGTGTCCAGCCTGGGGTTCCTGCCCAAGTGGGGACCACGCCGAAGCTGTGGAGCTGGAGCCTGGGTGCTCCTGCCCCTGAGGGGATGTTGCTGTCACCCCTGGGAGCAGCTTGCTCTAGGCAGTACCAGAGGCTGGGAATGCCAAACATACCTGAGCAGTGAAACCACCTCTGGGCAGGAGGGGGGGCAGGGGGAAGGCTTGGATGCCTTTGACTTCTACACTTCCCTTATCTCTGGCATTTAACTTTCTCACCTTCAGTTCCCAGGGGAAGGTCTCCCCCTTCACAACTGCAGTGGGTCCTTCTACCGCAGGTGACCAGGCAGGTATATGAAAGGCAGGGAGGGCCCTACCTGCAGATCCAACACCTGCTTCCTCAGTCCCCTGTCCTGCCCCCTCATGGGTGTCTCCTGGCCTCCTTTTCTCCCACAACCACCCTGGATCTGCAGACCAAAGTCTTTCTCCTCTCAGCCCATTAAAGCTGATCCATCCCCTGCTGATCCTGAGTGGCTCCAGGGTCCTGGGGAAAGGGGGTGTTAAGGGAAAGGAGGTGTTGGGGGGCAGGAAGGGATCCCACCCCATTGGAATCCAGACTGTCCTAACACTACTGCTGGTGGTGTCCCAGGTCCCACACCACCCCAAGGGTCTCAGCACTTCAAAGGGGAGGAAAGGAGCAGCTTTGCTTGCTTACAGACCTAGAAATGCCTCATGACCCTGTCCCACTCCCACACTGCTGGTGGTGGGTGCTGACACCTAACACCCAGCCATGTCCTGAAGCACCTCCCAGCCCATCCTCTGCTCCAAAACATCCACACAATGGGGATGACTAAGTGCTGACAGATCTGGGTGGGATCCTCACTCACAGCACCCTTCGTGGCCCATGGGCATCCAGTTGATGGAGATACACAGGGTGGCTTGCACAGATGGGGACACCAGGAGTGGGGGGAACGCTGGAAGGAGGAAGTGGAGGTGCTACCATGGCCTCACCAGTGGATCTGGATGGCCTGAACGGGGACTGGGTGGGTGTGGGGAAGCCCCAGCTCAATCTCTCAGGAGCTTTCATGGTACATCTCACCAACAGGGGCAGAAGGATGCAAAGGGAGGAAGGAGAAAAGGGCTTCACCTCAAGAATGAGCGGCGGCAGACGCTGTTCCATCCTCATGGGGTGCAGCTGTGGGGCAGACAGGGCTGGGTTAGTGTGGTGGCCTCTCCCATCACCCACCCACCTCCAAACCCATGGAAGGTCCCACCACCCCCAACCTTTCACAGACCCCAGGGCTCACCCTGCCAGCAGCTGGTCCCTCTACTATCACAGAATCACAGAATCACAGAACCATAGAATCATAGAATCACAGAATTGTTTGGGTCAGAAGGGACCATAAAGATCATCTAGTTTCAACCCCCCTCCATGGGCAGGGACACCTCCCACTAGACCAGGTTGGCCTAAGCCCCATCCAAGCTGCCCTCTCACCAGTGTCCCCCACCTTGCAGCCTCCCCAGCGTGGTGGTGGGGAACAGCTGACAGGAGGTGTGGGCAGGAGCCAGGTTGGCCCCAGGTAGGTGCCCCAGGCACAACTCCTCTCCTTTGCCCAATATCTAACAAGCTCCACAGCCCATGGACCATTGCATCTGCAAGAGCAAGGATACCAGAAGCTTTCCCTGGGAAGAGCCTCAGCCTGGCCACCAGTGCTTAGATGGACTGTGTTTCCTGGCAGCACCACAACCTAAATATCCAGCTTCTCCAAGGTGAAGCTCTGCCAGGCTGCTACAAACAAAGGACTTGAGGGAAGCCCACCTCCACCTGGCCTTGAGAGCCAAGCAGGCTGGGAATGCTGAGAGGTGCCATCTCTGGAGAGCTGCTAGTCTCCGTGTGGTCCTTGTGCCTGGAAGCATGAGATGATGCTTAAACATGAAATCTCCAGGTCAGAGCTGCACAGATTTGGGTGTTGAAACCTGTGTTCCATCACCCTTATCAACTGGAAAAAACAGCTTCAGAAGCACCTACAACATTCAGCCAAGCTCCTCAGCAGGTAATGCACAAGCCTGCAAGGGGTGGTCCAGGTGCTGGAACCCTCATTTTGGGATCAGCCACAGCAGGAGACCCACAGAACCCTCTGCTCTGCCAGCAATCTGCGTTCAGGACCTGCCATGATAAGCAGCACAGAGAAAAAGGAAGCATTGAGGGCCAAATGGGCCCCACCAGGAAGAAGTCCTGTAGACACCAGGTCTCTGCAGACTCCTTGGCCAGCCCCAGGCAGGTCCTGGCATCCAGCTGCAGCCCTGCCTGGGACAGCTCTGGAGAGGGCAGCCGAGGACAGGGCACTGCGCTGGGGTCACACGAGGCAGCAATGGCACATCCAGACCTGGGACCTGGAGGGGAAGGCACCCTGAGCAGGCTGGGTCAGAGCTGCCTGCTGGGCAGCACCAAGCACCACGAGCCAGAGAGCAGCCAAGGGAGCCCTGCTCCCCCCAGAGGGACCCTCCTCTGGCCAACAGCTGCTGCCACGACCCTCCCCAGCCCACCCAGCTTCATTAACCCTGCAGGAACCTCCTGCCTCGGACACCTCTCTCCCCCACCAGGTATGGCCAAAGGCAGGGGGAGGTGTTATCAGGGCACCCACCACCCCACATGGGGCCCAAGGCAAATGTGCCCTGGGAGGACAGAGGGGGACAGGACCGTGGCATCTCCCCAGCACAGCAGCCTGCAGGCAGGACCTGCCCTGCCGGGATTAAGCGCTTTCTAATCTGAAGTTGATAAATAACAAACGGCCATAGAAACATCAGGTGTTGTCACGGCACGGGCAGCAGCGGGGAACAAGGAGAGAAATCAATGTTTGCTAAACAGCCAACGAGCCTGTAAAGTTGGCAGAGGGAGCAGTTGGGGGGGAAAGGGCTTGAGGGGGAGGAATTTCTGCAGCACTTGGCACCATCGAGCCTTGGCTCAGCCCCAGCCCTGCTCTGCAGTTCCAGGAGGCACCAAGCCCACCTTCCCAGGTGGGTCTCAAGCTCTTGCCCACAGCCACCCGGGGTTCTTTTGAGAAGAGGGGTGCAAGGAAAGGTCAACCAGCACCTCATCCCTAGGAGGCAAGGGTTCAATGGACAGGGGAAGGGCTGAGCACCCACTCCAGGGCCAAGGGGAGCCCTGCCTGGGGGTGAGGGACCCTCCCGGGGCACGGGCAGGCGTGGGAGAACAGTTGGGGCCCTGGGGTGACGCAGTGCAGCCTTTTTTCTCATACATGCACCTGCATGAAACTGCAGCCTCCAAGGGAATCAGCAAACAATGGGGAGGATAATCATCAATCAGAAGCCCTGGCAAGTACCTGGCAGTGCCCCTTTACAGGCACACGTTA